TTTTTTTAGTATAACTCGGTATTGCTCGGTATAACTCGGTATTTCATCTTCACCTAATGATATTTCTCGTTATTATTGGTATTGCTCGGTATTTCTCATTTTGTGCATGCAATCTTAGTGCCGACCGGACGTAGCTCTACGTATGTTCACCGGACCAAATAAGTGGACCTACTTTCTTCTTCTTCTTCTTCTTTGCTTTCTGTTGTTTCGTGGACCTGCTATCCAACTGCTTCATGCATTTCATTCACTTAACATTCTACCTTGTGAGATGTGAGCTTTTAGCCGTTATGGTCTGCTCTCTACTGTTCTTTTGGTTATGTTTTACAGTTGGTTGGGTGCTTTGCTGATTACTTCTTAGTATGGATGTGATGAAAACCTTTGTGAAGTTATACATTAGTACTGGCATCACAAAAATTTAGATGCAACCAGGTTATAAATGTAGAAATATAGAAACCAGATTGTAGACCGAATGAAGAAGAAGAAGGATATCATAGTATTTCTTACCTCTGTTATACAATATAGCTGCATATTTATAGATATTACATTAGGCATGTAAAACAGATAAGACCTGAAGTTAACAGTAATTACAAGAATGCTAAAACAGTTAAATACATTAAACATTTATCCTTGACAATAAATTGGTGAAAGGGGTTTTCTTTGGCCTGAGCAGGTACTATTTAACTGAATAAATACTAAAGTGATCAAATCCAAATTGCTAATTTCTAACCTTATAGAGGACACATTTACTGAAATTGTTGTAGCTGATGGTTCTTTGATAGGTTAATCCTGAACCTATGACTGTGGTTGTCAGTTGTCTGTGGTCTTTGTGAGTTTGTGGCTTGCAGTAGAGCACAATACACTGCATCAATTTTTTTGGAGATTTAGCCATGGTGATTCTGTCAAATTATTGCTTTTAATTATTTGTTTTTTGTTGCAGGTTCACTGGTGACTTGTTCGAAAAAATGAATGCACATGCAATTATGCAAAAGCAGCAAAGCAGTTGTATTTGTAATGCATGTTTGTAATATATTTTTGTAACAATTTCAAAAAATGAAATTATTTTGTAATGCATTTTCATTTTTCATCTTGTAAAATATAAAGAATTAATAAAATTTTAATTTTATTGTTTGTTGTTTTATTTCAATTTGCATATTTTGATTATTCTCCTAAAAAAATTCATTTGAGAAAAAAAAAACCACAAAAAATGGATCTGGCTAGTAGGGGGGTCGTGTCGACCTGGGTTAGGATTGGGTTCAGCTTGTGGACCTGTTTTGTTAAACAAGTTGGGCTCGGGTCAACCCGTTTATGTCTTGGTCAAATCCGAATTTGACCCAAATCTGACCCGAAAACTCATTTTGACACCCCTGCGGCCCAATTGGTTGGTTGATATTAGAAAATACTTTTTAAAAAAATGATAATTTATTAGATTGCTTTAATAAATTGGTTATAATTGAAACTCAATAAAAAATTTTTAACTCAACGCACTTTTTAAATTTTTTTAAAGTGATTTTTTTTTTAAATATAAAACATCATTAGCAAGCAATTATTTTTCAGCTATGAGCAACCAAACGAGAGCCTAAGCACATTTGATCAAATCTTTACCCTTTTTCTTTACTGGTACCCTTTCAGGTTCTCTGTGCCACCTATTCCACAGCTTGCAGTACAATGACAAACCAGTTCACTTTTATTCCCTACATCTTTGTGTATATTCCCCTCTTTCTCTTTACTAGTTTTTCAAGTCCTCTAGTGTTGAGGTAAAAGAAGAAGAAGGAAGAACAAAATCTCTTCTCCTCTTTCCCTTTATATCCTTCTAAGTCGTGAAGAGTTGGGTAATAGAAGAGGAGGAAGAACCCAAAAACAAAAAGACAAAAAGAGCTAGCTAGAGGTAATATACGAAGAAGAAGGAAGAAAACCAAACAAAACCTTCCCCAATGTTTCCATCAGCAGTGATGTCCAACTCCACATCCATCTCAGAAGAAGCCAGCACCTCTTTAGAAACCAGAGCCCATATAGACTTCAACAAACTCACCTCCCTTCTTTCCCCCTCATCTTCTCACCAAAACCAAGAGAACAAGAAAAAGAGAAGCCAGCCAGGAAACCCAGGTAATTATTAATTATAACTTTCATCGATCGATGCTATAATCTCTGATCACATGTAGTCAACAAAACTTACTATATAATGCATACTTCTTCTTTGCTAGACCCAGAAGCTGAAGTGGTAGCTCTCTCTCCAAATACCCTAATGACAACAAACAGATTCGTGTGTGAAATCTGTAATAAGGGATTTCAGAGAGATCAAAACCTCCAACTTCACAGGAGAGGGCATAATCTACCATGGAGACTTAGGCAGAGAAGTGGCAAAGAGGCAGCAAGGAAGAGGGTGTATGTTTGCCCTGAGCAGACTTGTATTCATCATCATCCTTCGAGAGCCCTAGGTGATTTGACAGGGATAAAGAAGCATTTTTGCAGGAAACATGGTGAGAAGAAGTGGAAGTGTGAGAGATGCTCGAAGAACTATGCTGTTCACTCTGACTGGAAGGCTCATGTCAAGACTTGTGGTAGCAGAGAATATCGATGTGATTGTGGTACTATTTTCTCCAGGTTGGTGATTATCAACTCAAGCTCCTTCTTCCTCTTCTTTCTGATTCTTTGCTTTTCTGTTTCATATGTGATTTGAATGTTGATTGTTATAGTAGTCTTTTATAAAAAAATATTCAAGGCTCCTAATCATCCTTGTACTTTTTTAATGTAATTAATCCCTTTAGATGAATGATTTATAGAACAATATATAGGGACATGAAATTTCATAGCTAGCTATGGGAAGCATGCATTAATTATAGCTGCTTCTAGTTATTTATTTCTCCAAAAATATAACTGGTCAATTATGTGCTGATCAATTTTCCTCCTATGATGCTAATTAATATATAGGTGTTTCTCTTCTTATGATTTCTTTCCTGATTTAAAGAAAAAAATAGTTCAACCCTTGCCTTTATTGATCTTGTCATCTAATTATATTAAGAGTTTGTTTGGGACTTTACTGTTTTGCTTTTCAGACAGCTATTGCTTATTTATTAATCTGTTTTATAAAATGTTACAGCCATCTCAAATAAATCCTAAGTTACTTAATTTGCTTTCTATGGAAGATAAATTTGATGAATTATGCTTTAGGTAATTACCATAATTTGAAACATGAGGTTAACATATAATTAATAGATATGTTGCATAGGGATGTGTTTTTTAGTTAGTTTTAACTGGAATTTTAAAATTTTGAATTACTAAAATTTGTAATAATTAAAATAAATATTATGAGCAAAATTTTTCATTAAAAAAAAAGATAAATTTTCTTCAATGACGTAAAATTCTAATAGATGAACACTCGATGCTAAGAGCTTCGTCATAATTATTGATAGCATTATATACGTCTGTCGAAAATTTACTAGAAATTTCAATTTTTTTTCTTTCGATTTGAATTTTATTTATTTATTTGCTTATGATTCAAATTTATGAAAGTATATATAAAACATAATGGGGTCAGAAAGTTGAAAATTCTGATGTAAATGAAATAAAAAATTTCAAACAATAATGATAATTATATATCACAAAAGTAAAAATAATGTGTAGTAAATGATAGCTGCAGTACTTTAATGTTCTGCTATTTAATAATGCAGTCAAGCTTTTTGCATTTCTAGCACAGAATTGAAATTCAAAGGTTTTTCTTCAAACCTTAATGATAACAGTGGCACACAATTCAGCATTCAAATGATTGTACATAGGATTAACTAGCTATGGTTACTGTTGCCTTTAATAACTTTTATATGTTAGAAGATATTTTCTTTGGTTGTAATTTGTTAGTTAATTTATATGGTACTTGGTTATCAACATAAGCTCCTTTTTCATATATTTTCTGCGTTTTTAGATTTCAACTCCTGCTGATTGCTACTTGTCTTCTAAAATTTTTCATCTGGGTACATTACAAAAAATTTTTTAATGTTAATTTGAGCAAATATTGAAGAATTTATTGAAGAGAAATTAAGTTTTTAGAGCTTCATGAAGTATAATAAGCCTCTTCGGTCACTGTAACTGTTAGGGAACGATTAGTCAAATATAATGAGAAACAGTAAATCATGATTTGAAAAACACAAATGAAAACATTACGTTGAAAATTCAAATATGGGAGAATGGCTTCACTATAAGAAAAAGAGACGGAGTAGAAACGGCTTACAAAACTTTAAGCTCTTTACAATATATTTATAGGGCAAAATTAGGGCAGTGAAAAAACAAACAGAATTTCAAAATTACCCTTACGGCAAAAATCAAGTCAAAACTTGCAAGGGGGCGCTACCGCCTTGGACTCCCGACATATCTGCAAAGCACACGACGGTCAAGGACATGAACAAACAAGGATCAAGTCAAATTTGAGGCAACTCCAATAACAAACTTAAAATCTGTAAGTTCATTTAACTAAAGATTTGTTTGTTTTCAACTAATATCTTCTGTACACACTGTTTTGGTTTAATCAGAAGATGACATACCTAAATCATTTTAAAAATCGAAGTCATTTACTTAAAACTATTTAGCCAACTTGGAGAGAAGTACAAAGCAGTAACTCTTACACCAAATCTCTTTCTTCCCCACCAAATTAATGTTCTGGGTCCATTCAATTTACACGTCTCTCTATTCATTTATCTTTCAAAGGGTATTCATCACCACTCATCCCCATTAATTAATTTCTTCAATATGTTTCATCTATCTGTTATATGAATAGTAGAACAAAGTTTTTCATTCAGCCAGTTTTATCTATTTCATCTTTTTTATCTCTCCTATCTAAGATAGAGCTTACGTTGGGGAGATTATTCTGTGGGGATGACGCCGAACACAATTCACCGTCCAGAGACCAATTAGAATGCACCGCATCAGCGATACCGAGCTCAGTACCGAGCCGCGGTGCCGAGCAGTACTGAACTGGGTATCGAACAGAGGGTGATGTGGCGCATTCTGATTGATCTTAGTACGACATTCGACATCCACACATAATAATTTCACCTTACACATTGTGGCATCCTCTGAGGTTCATTGTATTTTGAGTAATTACCTTTTAGGCTTTTACCATTCTTTGGTCATAATTCTTTTTGGCCTAATGTATATTAAAAAAAAAAAAAATCTTTAGTCATTGAACCTTACCTGATACAGTTAATGAGAGAGATCATTAGATGAGTTGACCCAGCTGTTTTTTGTAGCTTAGTTTAGTATTTCCAATCTATATTGTTCAATTAAATAGATAACAGTACTATATATACCTACACCATAAATTACGAAGTAAAATATTGAATAAAATTTTTTCTTAATTTTTTTTAATTATGTAGATGTACCTTATATTTAATTTTGACTAACTTGTTTATATCTTTCTGCAAAATTTGAACAGGAAGGACAGCTTCATCACACACAGAGCCTTCTGTGATGCCCTAGCAGAAGAAAGCGCAAGACTTGGTTCCAACTCCATTTTATCTGACACTACAGTACTCTCCACTCTCCTCCCCCAACCTCCCTTCACTTCCTTCACCAACTGGTATCCATCTTCTAACACAAACCCTAACCCTACTTTCAACAACACCACATTGCCATTCCATTTGCAGCCTGATGAGCCTCCTCACACCTTTCACCCTTACTTTTCCAATCACCACCTCGTTCTCCCACCTACCTTCTCGACCATAGTATCCGCCACTGCACTTCTCCAAGGCGCCTCTTCCATGGGTCCCTTGCCGGCAACCACCAGTACTGTTATGACAGCCACCTTAGACACCGGAGAGATTTCTATGTGTAGAAGTGATGGCAAAAGGTTGACCAGAGACTTCCTCGGAGTTGTTTCCGGCGATGTCGCTGAAGAAGATGAGTTCCTCCCTCTTTCAGGACTTGGAGTAGATCCTGTTACCTCCTCTCGCTATGGCCATAGTGTTGATCACAGCAAGACTCTTCCTAAAGCTTGGCGAGACTGCTAGATGGTAAATATATAAGGATTTGATGAGTTCAGCTATGATCGACTAATCTAATGCAAAACTAGCTAGCTTATCTTATCAGCTGAAGATATAGACAAATTTATCCTATAAAGAAATAAATATTCCTTATAAAATTTCTATAATTAAGGAACTTTTTATCATCACATTTTTTGAACTGACATTTGCGTTCATAATTATCTATAATTTTGAATGTTAAATGAGTGATGATTAAAAAACAATTATAGAATTTCTATATTGAATTCCTTCAGGATTTATTTGATCTAAAACTCTCATTAATTAAAGTCCAAAAAATGTTCTTTATGTAAATGACCTCTTTGGTATAATTAGGCTTCGTTTGTGATAATTTTTTATTATTTTATGAAGCTAATGTAAAGAAAGTGATTTTTTTAAAAACTGTTATAGAAATCAATTTTCCAGTATAATTTTTTTTGAAAGGAATAATAAAGCAGTGGCTAAATAGAAATTAAGATTGTGAACTGAAAATTACCGAAGTTTTATTGTGGTCTTACAGCTTTGAAATTTGGCTATATTTATATTATTCACAATAATTTTTAAAGGTTAATTTTCTCATTATAATTTTATAATTATTTTTAAAAAAATTTACAACAATCTCAAAATAAACCCTTAGAGGAAGAGATATGTATTGTACTTTAGCTAACTACATAGTTATGTAAAAGATAATTAGCTATTACAATTTACAATCATACATCAAATATATATGTTGTGGTCATATATGCACTATTATTAAATTTTACATAGATAATTTCAATGCTTGTCTCGTTGCAATAAAAAAATTGATCAATTTTTTTTTTTTACATTGTATTGCTATTTTTCTCAAATAAATGATATTATATTTAATTTTCTTAGAAATAAAATAAGAATTGATAGGTCCTAAAAATTGCCTTGATCGAGCACGAATCTCGAGGCATATTCAAATTGGAATTTTTTCAACAAACTTACAATCAAATTGAACATCTCAAAGGGACGAATCGAACAACACCGAAATTGGTCCAACCCAAGCCCAAATGGGTCCAAATCGGGGGCCCGGACCACATTTGGAAGGGTTAAAGCATTATTTGGATAATGAAATGATATCCCAATATGGCATGCTTATAGTCAAATCGAGCGTCTCGGCGAGACGAATCCAACGAGCC